AATCAGGTCAGATAATGGTACCAATCTGAAAGGCACAGAGAGGGAACCGGGGAGGCAATCAAGCATTGGAATCAATCTACCATTAAGAGAAGTATGATACAGAAGAATGTTGAGTGGATATTCAATCCTCCTACTGGATCACATCATGGCGGAATCTGGGAGCGACAGATAACGTAGTGTCGGAAGATACTTTTTCAGTTCTCAAGGATCAGCCTGTAGGTGATGAGGAATTACACACAGTGCTGTGTGAAGTAGAAGCCATAGTTAACAGTCGGCCAATTTCAAGAGTTTCGGATGATCAAGTGATTTAGATGCGTTGACACCAAATCACCTGCTTTTGTTTAAAGGCAAGCCCGAACCTACCTCCGGGTATATTTTCTGAGGAAGCGATGCGCATTACCCCGTCGTCGATGGAGACAAATCAATACTTAGCAGATCTCTTTTGGAAGAGGTGGTCTCGAGGTATCTTACGTCGTTACAGGTGCGACAAAAGTGGTCAAAGCTCCGGCCGCAATATTCATGTTGGAGATGTAGTTCTCATCGTCGATGAAGCAGCACCTAGAAATTCATGGCTTATGGCAAAAATTGAGAAAGTTTATCCTGATCACAAAGGGTTTTGTGCGCGAGTGTTGAAGTCAAAACGAAGTCAGGTGTTTTGAACAGATCAATTTCAAAGTTGTGTTTACTGCTTGAAGGTGAATGTTGACAATATCAGTTTTCAGTTCTACTGCTAAGCTAGTGTGACAATATCAGTTTTCAGTTCTACTGCTGAGCTAGTGTAGAGAAGTGTACATTTGATAATTTACTTAACCAGTGGATATTTTAGGTTTATTATGCAACCATAATGTGTGTATGAGTGTGTGTATGTGATTGATTCACATTCTCAGAGCTATTTGATGCAGTTATAAAGTTATGTTCAGTTTAAATGTATCAGTTTATGTGAAACTGAATATGTTTCAGATCGTTTGACGCAGAGTATATTAGTATTGTAATTGTTACTTGTAACAATTAAGGGGCCGGAATGTTGCGGTCAAATGCTTGAGCTATATTTAGATTGAGATCATGTGATCTAGGGTAAGTCACATGACTGTAAAAAGGGGAGATAACTTGGGAACAGAAGCATGCAATGTACAGTTTCAGTGTGGAGTTCAGTGTTGCAATACGGTTTTTCAACCGGCAACAGCAGAAGTAACAGAAAACAGTGCACACAGATAAAACACAGAATAAAGTTTGCTGTGTTGGAACCGTGGGAGTTGTTAATATATGTACAGACATTTGCAGCGGTGACATATTGTAACAATCAGTTGTATCCATAGGGTCCGTGACACGTTTGCAACTGTAATATACATATTGTAACAATCAGTTGTACCCATAGATTCCTTCACACGTAAACAACTGTAATATACACATTGTAACAACCACCTGTACCCATAGATTCCATGACACGTATACAACTGTAATATACATATTGTAACAATCAGTTGTACCCATACATTCCGTGACACGTATACAACTGTAATATACATGTTGTAACAATCAGTTGTACCCATAGATTCCATGACACGTATACAACTGTAATATACATATTGTAACAATCAGTTGTACCCATACATTCCGTGACACGTATACAACTGTAATATACATGTTGTAACAATCAGTTGTACCCATACATTCCGTGACACGTATACAACTGTAATATACATATTGTAACAACGACTTCTACCCCTAGATTCCGTGACACGTATACAACTGTAATATACATATTGTAACAATCAGTTGTACCATAGATTCCAAGGCACGTATACAACTGTAATATACATATTGTAACAATCAGTTGTACCCATAGATTCCATGACGCATATACAACTGTAATATACACGTTGTAACTATCAGTTTTACTCATAGATTCCGTGACACGTACACAACTGTAATATACATATTGTAACAATCAGTTGTACCCATAGATTCCGTGACACGTACACAACTGTAATATACATATTGTAACAATCAGTTGTACCCATAGATTCCGCGACACTTATACAACTGTAATATACATATTGTAACAATCAGTTGTACCCATAGATTCCGTGACACTTATACAACTGTAATATACATATTGTAACAATCAGTTGTACCCACAGATTCCGTGACACGTATACAACTGTAATATACACATTGTAACAAACAGTTGTACCCATAGATTCCGTGACACGTAAACAACTGTAATATACATATTGTAACAATCAGTTGTACCCATAGAGTCCGTGACACGTTTGCAACTGTAATATACATATTGTAACAATCAGTTGTACCCATAGATTCCGTGACACGTATACAACTGTAATATACACATTGTAACATCCACTTGTACCCATAGATTCCGTGACACGTAACACACCATGCGGCTATCACAGTATGACGTGTACGATAACGTTGATACCTTAACTGAACTATGTGCATAATTCACACGTCAGCCTTTTGGAAGAGTTTTTATCGAGTTGTGTCCCTTTAACAATCTTGCTCAAGCCAAAACAAGCGTTAAATAGAAATCACTGTTTGTAGTGTCATAGTCCCTTTGTGTGCTTTTTCGAAGCTGAACAGGAAGTTAGGGACGCTGGAAAATTGTGATGAATTGTAAATAATGACATATTTACGTTTCAATTTCTGACAAGCAAACAAGCAAGAAAGCTATATGATGTGATAAACAACTGTAATATACACATTGTAACAACCACTTGTACCCATAGATTCCGTGACACGTAAACAACTGCAATATACACATTGTAACAACCACTTGTACCCATAGATTCCGTGACACGTAACACACCATGCGGCTATCACAGTATGACGTGTACGATAACGTTGATACCTTAACTGAACTATGTGCATAATTCACACGTCAGCCTTTTGGAAGAGCTTTTACCGAGTTGTGTCCCTTTAACAATCTTGCTCAAGTCAAAACATGCATTAAGTAGAAACCACTGTTTATAGTGTCATAGTCCCTTTGTGTGCTTTTTCGAAGCTGAACAACAAAGCTATGTGATGTGATAAACAAATGTAAGATTAACTAAGTTCACATGTAAATACAAGAGCATCACTTTGGCAGTATGGCAAGCCGTTTTCACATTTATTCAGAAATACTAATATCTTAAATTGTTTTAAAGATAACTTGAATGAAATTAGAGATATCTTCAGCTGATGAAGAAGATGAAGAATATCAGTTATATCTGGAAATAATAGCTGATATCTGGAAATGCATTATAGATGTCTTGACTTGAATTATAGATGTCTTGAAATGAATAACAGATATCTGGAAATAATAGCTGATATCTTGAAATGCATTATAGATGTCTTGACTTGAATTATAGATGTCTGGAAATAATAGCTGATATCTGGAAATGAATTATAGATGTCTAGATGTCTTGAAATGAATTATAGATATCTTGAACTGAATTATAGATGTCTTGAAATGAATTATAGATATCTTGAAATGAATTATAGAATTCTTAAATAGAGGTAATGAATTTAATTTTTATTCAAATGTATTTTGAATTGAATTTAGGATATCTTGAATAGAGATATTCTAAACGATTTCCATATATCTTTGAACCAAATACTTCCGGCTACATATATGTGAATACTTCCGATTCTGAAAATGGCGGGTAACCATGTACAACTCGTACTAGTCGAGAGCCACGACATGACCCTACATCAAGGCCGAGAATACCACCTTCAAGAATCCTGTTCAGATTCGTCGCTATATGGCTGAATTGATGCCGATGCGACGTAAAACTCAACTCACACCTATTCAGATTCTAGTGGCAGATTACCATTTTCTTGAGACTTTTTAGAAATATTTCCTGTGGGTGTTTTACTGAAATGTTAATATCAATGTCCTCCCAGATAATTTCATATTTTTATGATAGTAAATTTAGGTAATAATAGGCCTGTAACCCGTTCAATTCTTGTATCACCGGTAGCGAGGTGTCATGGTGACATGTGGTGCGCATGTGTCGAATTTCTATCCGTTTCTAAGGATGTTCTTCATTAACGGTGCACAATACTCTCGTTTCGAGCGCAAGCACTTTGGCAGCATCACACTGAATGTATATATGACGTTATTATCTGCTTTTATGTCAAAATTAATTTAATATCTCTCTCTCTCTCTCTCTCTCTCTCTCTCTCTCTCTCTCTCTCTCTCTCTCTCTCTCTCTCTCTCTCTCTCTCTCTCTCTCACACTCTCTCAACTACATACCCGCCATACCAATCGAAAACCGTTAACATTTCATTAATGATGTCGCAAGTTTCCAGGGGTTTTTCCATTGCGTGAGCGTGTTCGTAAACAAACATGGCCGCCTCCACTATCAAACTTGGTGATTATGTGAGAAAAGATGACAGAAGTTCTGGAGTCTGCAGTATTTGACTTTGGAAAACATGAAACGGCCGGAGTACTTCGTTCAAATTGAAAGAGTAAAATACAGGTTATGAGTCACGAGTAAAAGGCAATCATCTAGGAAAGGTACCAACCAATGATTTCAATCAAAACACTGGATTGTCTGGTCCAGACTCGATTATACACAGACCGCCGCCATATAGCTGGAATATTGCTGGGTGTGGCTTTAAACAACAACCAAACCAAACTCTCTCTTTCTCTCTCGCACGTAAAATACACTGATTAAGCGTAATGAAGTACGTAACCATGTACTTCTGTCATCAATTCTGACAGATTTTTGATAATGTTTGTTTACAAACTCGCCCTTGAATCTCTATTCAAGATATCTTCATTTCAGTTCAAAATATATTCAAAATAACTGAAGATGTTAGTAATTTCTCAATACATCATCTGTTAAGGATTGCTGGAACAATGAAATGTGGTGAGGTGAATTTCTGTTCTTAGTTGTAGTCGAATCATGTTTACACTACTTGGTTTACTTATATATATTCAGTGTTTCACCAACCACTCAGTGATATATATATATGTTCTCGATTTATCTGTTCAGAACCGCACGATGTCCGTTAAAAGACAAGAATCTGGGTATGTGGACAACTGGCAGGCAAGGAAGACTCTTACACAGTGTAATCTGCGCATGCTCGAAACCGAAGACTTCAGTGACGTCACCTTCCGGGTGGGATCACAGCAACAGGTGGTCCGAGCTCACCGTTATGTTCTTGTCAGTCGCAGCTGTGTGTTCCATGCCATGTTCTGTGGCCCCCTGGCGGAGAAAGGGGAGGTGACCATCCCGGATATTGATGCAGACATCTTCAAGGAATTCTTAAGGTGTGTTTAATCTACCAATTTTACAATTCATTTATTACCAAATAAAAATACCTTCTATAGTCGCTAGGCAGATATCATTGTCACAATCTATGTCAGAAACTGCTAACTAAGTTGTTTAATCATAAATGTCAAGCTACGACATGGCATTGTGGACACCGTTATATAATGATGCTTAGTTTTCAGTCAGTCTTTACATATAACCCCAAACCCAAACCATCGACGTCGACGGGTCCAGAGGTGCAATAGTGTTCGATGCTGAAATCTACAAAGACCCTATTTTAGCCCTGTTGTGCAACGACTACGTCGACGCGTCCAGTGATTCAATATCGTTTGAATCTATAAAACTGACCACGTCTATGGTTCAGTAACGAATCAGGCTTTCTGCTTCTGTGCCGTGATATTTTGAACAGAATTGTGTTGGCAAGGTTGACCGATATGGTGGTGATAGCTTCATAATGTGGGGAGCCATATCCTGCACACAGAAATCTGACTTCGTGCGCCTTCAATTCGGTACAGAGACGAAATCTTAAGAAATCATATGGTCCCGATCATTGACCGCCAGAAGGAGTTGATCCAGCAAGAGAATGACAGGCCTCGCACAGCAAATGCCACTGTTCACGTTTATCTTGAACGTCAGCGTTCCAGACGTTAGATTAACTTTCGCTAGCATTGCAAGGGGAATGGACCAGAATTCCACAAGGTCGGATTCAAAGATTTATTCAGTCCATGCCGAGACGGGGCAGAAACGTTTTGGGGGCTCATGGTGGCTACAAACGATATTGAAGGCAACGCCCAACCTTCACTTAGTGAAAATTTTACAAACTATACATTAGAGCTGGGACGGGTAACCTGGATACCCTGGGCGGATGGGTAATCAGTTGGACCCGGGTACCCGTCTCAATACCCGGACCTGTTATGACCATGTGACTAATTCATTAAACAATATAATATGTTATTCTTTCATGATTAATAGGTTGTGTTGTCTTTGAAGATTTAGACATAATTTACTGTCACCTGTTTTGAATATAATGCATGATTTAGATATTAAAAAACTCGAAATTTAAACTTCCGAATTGCAGAATATATTGCCATTTCTTACAACCGATGTCAGGAATTAACATAAAGGGTATCGGGTAGGGTAGGGTAATAGGAAGTGGGGTATCCGGGTAGAAAATATGGACCTGTCTCAGCCCTACTATACATGTGAACAGACATTGTAGCATTTATACTGTGAAATGTGGCTGCAACGGATCCAGAATTACATGTGTTTCTCACTTATTACTTAACAGGTTAAATTCGCGAGTATAGGTTATAGCGCACTGCAATAGGAAGTGCAAACCCTTTATGTTTATCAGCAAAAACTGTTGAATATCAAGTTGAAGTTCAGTGTAGCAAAAATCAAGGAACAAAGTATGTACCAATATCATCTATAGCTAAGCTGCAAGTATTGAAGAATGTGTTGCTGAAAATACAGAAACATTCCATTACCCCTCCATCTTCAACACCCACATCCTCCCCGATGTGACTTCTAATATTTATGGTAAGTAATGTTTAAAAGAGCGGTGATTCACAAGAACAAGTTTGTCTCCAAATGAACCATTGTGATTTATTGTAGGTATATATACACAGACGAGGCCCGAATCGACGCTGAAACAGATCACCGGACTAATGTACACATCCAGGAAATACTCTTGATGCACTGTCACGATCTCTGTGTAACTTTCCTGGCGAGTCCTGTCACAATACTGAGTCAAAAAGAAACTTCACATTCTTTCTTCAGGGCACTATAAAAGAACAAAGAGATGGTAAGATGGTTAAATTGTTATTATTTCATTGCTGAGATCTGTGTGATGTACTCGATACACTGACAGTGCCATAATCAGTTCCATTAGGCTACACCGCCGTTCCAAAACATGGGTATACAGAATGTCAAGTCACAAGAATAAAAATGCGCGAAATTTCTCAGTTCAATATCGTGTATGGCGCCCCGCTCATTCACCACTGCCAAACACCGTCTCCTCATCGACTGCCTGATGCTTGTGAACGCGTGGTTGGGGATTCTGCGCCATTGCTCTTGCAAGGCAGCGCCAAGTTCCTGCAAATTCTGAGGTTGGTTCCTAAGACCACGAAGCCTTCTCCCAAAGTGCATCCCAAACGTGCTCTATTGGATTAAGGTCAGGGGACCTCGATGGCCAGTCCATGGCGTTGATTCCAGCGTTTTGAAGGAAATTTCGTGTCAACATCGCGGTATGCGGCCGAGCATTATCATGCTGGAACTGTAGACCTGGGCCATGAGCCGCCATGAAAGGAACGAGTTCAGGGGTGAGCACCTGGTCGTGATAAGCAGCAGCTGTGAGGGTTTCCACGGATGACCAGAAGTCGGGAGCGGTTGTTCCCACAGAAAGCACCACACCATGCAACTTCCGCCCGAATCTGTCGACTTCCTGTACACAACATTGGGCATACCGTTCACGGCGTCGTCTCCAGACTCTATGCCTGCCGTCCGCGAATCTGAGGGTAAACCTGGATTCATCGCTAAAGGCGACTCGATTCCAGTCTCTCTGGGTCCATCGGAGGTGGCGTTGGGCCCACAGCAGGCGTTGGCGTTGATGAAGCGGCGTCAATATTGGCCACGATATGGGCGTCGAGAATGGAGATTGGCAGCCATAACCCGATTTGAATGGTCTGTGAGGACAGTCGACCTCTAAACATCTCAGCCCTGGTTACCGTGTAGCGGCAGAAATCTGTCACGTAGGTGACGTAGGACGATTGACGGTCTTCTGCTGCGTGACGTCACACGTGGACGACCGACCTGAGGCGATCAGAAGTGGTGCCAGTTTGTTGTAGGCGACCTGCATAAAGTCATACACAGTACGGCGGCTGCATCCCATTGCTCTTGCGGCGTCAATAACTGATCTTCCCGCTTGCAACATGCCAGCGGCGCGTTCCGTTGCACATTTGACAATCGTGGCATTTCAAGTACCGTTAGAACTGTGGTTTAAAAGTGTTTTTCAATTCTTGAGGCCAATGCAAACACGTGCATATGAAGAAAACTTCGATCACGAAGATCACGTGATCGACTGCACGTGCAAAACCTGATTTGGCACTAACGTCATTTGCACGACGAATGGATGGGTTTGAGTGGGTTTTGCTAACGTTTTTCTAGAGTCGAAGATAGGGATCCCATTTCGGATACATAGATGTATCATCAGAGAAAAATTATTCATTATTTTTCAAATTACATTTTGTGAAGTTTCTTTTTGACTCAGTATATACCTGGCTTCATATTCAGTATCCTAACATTAAAGCATTTCTCCATTTGTAGGGTTAAAGCGAAAGCAAATGCAGGAACCTGATGTTTGTAAATACGTCCAAAGATTGCAACTGTGTCACGTGTCAAATATGTTCTGTCGGGAAGCCATGCTATCTCGTTTTCTGTCGATCACAGGATTAAACTGAAAGGTTGTTAGCTGTGTGGGAGGTATAATGACATGAAGGTTCCAGTGGGTATTTCACTGCATGACGAAGATGGCGCACATATAATTGAACCACTGCAGACCGACGTGCAGCTTCTCGGGCATGGGCAGATGACTGACAACTTGTTCTCTGAGTCGGTACTACTGCAGCCAGGCACCACATACATCCTCTGTGTGAGAATGTATTTCAGGGATAAGAAGGTTTACTCGTATCAAATGGCGTTAATGGGTCAGTGGGGAGTCTACATGGGGTTAAATGGAAAGCAGACTGTAACCACTGATGGAGTTCAGTTCACGTTTTCAGACACCCATAATTACATTACAGACCCAACAGTTCTGAAAGGAAACATACCTGACTTCAAATTCAGTATCCCAACATTAAAGTAGCATGTGGGCTGGCGATGAATACATCTACCAAATGGGTGACGCTGACCACAACACCAATCAGATATGTATGTGTACCTCGTGTGGTAGAAACACCTCTATTATCTGATACATCGACGGCAGCTGTTGTCACACGACAAAACAACTCTTATACTTGAAAGCGTTAATCAGGAAAGGTAACTAACTTCATGTTCTATAGTCTCATGTTTCTACTGAATGAGTCAAACCTGCCTCATATCTGTTTGCAAAATATCCTAATCATAAAATGTAGCTTGATTCATAACACATCTTCTAGCAGCATTTGTCTGTTATTCTACTGTACTGCTTTGAATGTGTGAAATAGTTTCTCCACGCTCTATAGAGTGATTCCACCTGCCTACCTAATGCCCGGTGATTACAACGAATGTGATCATCAATACAGTGTGGAACCAACAATGTTTGTATAATTAACATTTGTACTCTAATATTAACAATGTTTTGAAGTAAATATTAAAATCCACTAAAAAGTAAATACAATGGCAGTACAAAATACAGGGGACGTACAAATTCAGCCTTGTACAAATACAGGGGCAATATAGAATGAAAGAAGTGGTTATAGCAACGAAAACAGTGATGATAATATAATATTCACCTAACTGCCACATTCGTCAACCTTCCAAATCAGATCTCGGCTGGGAATATTGGGAGAAATATTATCTTCTCACAATTGCTGGTCTTCTAGAAATGGGGGGTGAGGGTGTGTTTGTGTGTGTGTGTGTTTGTGTGTGTGTGCCCGCTCCTCAAGCTGAAGACCTGGGTTCGATTCCCCGCATGGGTACGATGTGTGGAGCCCACGTCTGGTCGGTCGATCGGTCACTCACTCACTCACTCACTCACTCACTACTCACTCACTCACTCACTCACTCACTCACTCACTCACTCACTCACTCACTCACTCACTCACTCACTCACTCACCCACTCACCCACTCACGCACGCACTCACGCACGCACTCACTCTTGTAATGGGATATGACTAATGATCTACTGAAGAAAGTTCAGGAAGTTTCTGTACTGGAACTTTCGCTGGGTCGGTCAACGCTGGAAGCTTTCGGTTGGTCTAAAAACTTCCAGCCTTAACTCTTTGTCAGATATACTAACTAGTGCACCATGTAACATGAACTTGTTAAAGACATTGTAAACAGGGGCTACAGTCAGCTTTTATTGAATAAAGCGTTTTTCTCTCAAATAATCCCAATAAATATTATTGTTGACGTTGTTGTTGTTGTTGACGTTGTTGTTGTTGCTGTTGTTGTTGCTGCTGCCATATTCACTTTTATTTGTGTTTGTTTGGGTTATGTTCACGTGTATTTGTGAAGTGTGTGAGGGGCACATAAAATACTTGTTTCGATCCCGACAAAGATCTCATGCGCTCATAATCACTATAACAAATGTTATACAATTGTGAAGTCTGGGGTGTAGATTTTACAATGTTAAAAAATATTGACGCACTGCTCCCAGAAAAGCTACACCTTCAGGTTTGTAAATCATTGCTAGGAGTAGGCAAGAAAACGCATAACTGGGCCTGTCGCGCAGAACTAGGTGTGTACCCATTACTAGTACCAATCATCAAAAAGATAATTGATTACAAGTTCCTTATAGATAACACAACAAATACCATCTGATGCCATGGAAGCAGTGTCTGTGATCACAATATAGGCTGGGTTCATAAACTTAATAAAATAAAGCAAACTTTTGAAATAGCGAACACGAATAAATGTAATCTATCTACCATGAATAAACTCCAGTCAAAATGTGAAGACATGTTCAAGCATACATTAAGTGATTCCCATTCTTCAAATAACAAATTAAGAAAATACAGATGGTCAAGTCATCTATGAAACTCGAAAATTACCTATTTCATTGTAAAAACAAAGCTTATCGATCACATTTTTCAAAACAACGGTTAGGTAATCATAAACTCAAAATTGAAACTGGAAGGTATACAGAACCTGCAACCCCTTTAGAACAACGTCTCTGTGAAATGTGCAGTGTCTTAGACGATGAGCAACACCATATAATATCATGTACCAAGTATAACGAAGAAAGGGAATCACTTATACACACAATGCTTTATTATGACCAAGAATTTACTACACTCTCAAAAAAAGAACAATTCTTAATAAGTTTCACGAACAGAAGTCCTGAATTAATTTCCAAAATATGTCACCATATTTACAACTTTATGAATTCTATATCTTACCATAGTCTCCTCTTATATTAATTCCATGTCATTATACCACATGATTTCTAAACAACAATGTTATAATGTACATCATTTATGTGTGAAATGTATCTATATTTCTTGTACCTGCTGTGTTTATGTTTGTAGCTTATAGAATATTGCCACTGTTTCTTCATGGAATGCTATGCAATAAATATCTTATCTTATCTTTTCTTATCATTCTCGACGTCCTTTGCCGAACTCGCCATCATCAGAAAGGTTCCTTTGGGAGAACTACATTAATTAATGTATACGGAAGACTTACTGACATTTACGAAACAATCAACGCCAGGACATGTCTCACTTACGAGGGTCGGTCAAAACGTAGTCGACCTCACCTATAATATGATACAGCTGCAGCTGTTTTTATGTTCCATGAAGGAACAGTGGCAAAATTCTATAAACTATACAATGTATTTACTAAAACAGTAGGTGCAAACATATAGAAATACACAGGAACATTCCACATATAAGGGGCGGTGGGGAAGACCAGTGGTTAAAGCGTTGGCTCGTCACGCCGAAGACCCGGGTTCGAATCCCCACATGGGTACAATGTGTGAAGCCCATCTGGTGTCCCCCGCCGTGATACTGCTG